AGTTTGCCGCCTCTCTCTCTCTCTCTCTCTCTCTCTCTCTCTCTCTCTCTCTCTCTCTCTCTCTCTCTCTCTCTCTCTTTGTTTTAGATGATAAGAATAACATTAAATAATAGTAATACGATTCACCACCTAATGTTTATATAAAAAAACTGACAAAGATAATTGTTGCTTTTATTCGGAAATCTCGAAATAAATTCTCAAAAGTTGCTGGAAAGTTTTGTTTATAAAATTTGTGAAATATTTTTATGCAGTTTTTATCCACAACAAAATATTTGAATTTTCTTCATAAATTCAACGGAAGTTTATTTTTTTCACTAATGTTAAGCTGGAGTTAAAAATTAAAAGCGAAAACGCAAACTGATTTTTAAACATAAACAATTTCAAATATGCATTAACCCTTTTAGATTAGGGTTTTCTAATCAACTATTTTCTAATCCAAGCCGTTTGAACAACAGATCTCTATCTGTATATATTTTTTGACAACGAAATCCAGTTTTAATCGCTTTACATTTTTAATCACAAACACAAACACATATATATGTGTGTGATGTACATATATGTAGGTGGATCAATAAATCTATAGAACCATAACCTGATATTGATCTGAAATATTCTCAGCTGAAAGAAATTATATGCTAAATGATAAATATTTGTTTATTTAAATGTGTGTTTTTTTTTATAATTATGGTACAAACATGCAGTTGTACCTAGGTGTGACCGCGCATATATATCTCTCTCATTATTTACATTATTCGAACTATTGTCCTCATCTTTGTCGCCATATTTATTACAACGTTTCGGCCGTTGTACGCTCCGATCTTCTTCAGGTGGTTGGAATGTCAAACTGAACCCTTTATTTCGCTCACTTGGGTAGACTGTTCTAGTTCCCTTGCCATGTTTAATGGATGTCAGTTATCAGTTATCGCCTGTTAATTTTCCTCTGAAAGTTCTCCACTACCTTAACCGGATATTGAACTCACAATATATATATATATATATATATATATATATATATATATATATATATATATATATAATGTAAATAATGTAAATAATGTACATAATACCTCATCTCAGAAATATAGACAGATATCTTTCTCATTATATATATATATATATATATATATATATATATATATATATATATATATATAAACAATGAGGATAGAGGTATGAACATTGCATCAGTTTCATGCTTAAATGCAATTGGCTGGTCAAACGATTCAACAGGTAAGTGAATAAATTTCGTAGTAATAGTAGTATTGTTAGGTCATGATATCGAGTATTATTATTATTATTATTATCGTTATTATTATTATTATTTCAAAAACTCCTGAACAAAATGCGTTATATATATATATATATATATATATATATATATATATATATATATATTGAAAATTAATTCTTTAACTATTTTTTTAACTGAAATATTTATGTGGGACACTGACATACTTTAAAAGGCATTGGCTGTTTGCCATTATTTGATATATATATATATATTTGATATATATACTGAAATGAAGTCGAAAGTCTCGTATTTTTGCTTAACCTTCATTTCGGATCTGCATAATTAATTCTATCGTTTTTAGTCGAAGTATCTTGTTATTTTAAAACTGATTAGTTTGACAAGAGCGCTAATAATTTCAACATCCTATTGTCCTCACTTCGAATCTGCGATCCACTGCACTGTGCTAAACTGTCAGAATAAAACATGACACGTGAAGATATTTGATATGAAATTTCGTGTTCCTTGTTTTGAACAGTGATACTCATCTTAAAGTATTATAATCAATTGAATAAATTTAAGTATCATTTCGCCGTATCACTACTGATATTGTATCTATCAAAATAAAGTAAACGTTTTACTGAAATCATCACATAATATCTTCTCTAACAATTTTTAGCCTTCTATGTAATGCTAACGTTATTTTATCTTCAAACTTCTTTTGTTTTTTAAGTACTGGTAATAGAGAGTGAAAGTGAGGAAAAAACTGTGTATAGTGGGAATTGAGGAAATGAAAAAAGAAGAACGGGAATCAAGGCAACAGAAGATGGCGATTGACGTTGCATTTAAATTTTTGAAGATTGTAGTTATCAGGGAAGCAAGTAAGAGGAAGGGAGTTTCAATGCCGGGAAGTGCAAGAAAAGAAACTGTTGCAGTAGAAGTGGTGGTTACATTTAACTATCTCAACAGTAAAAGGGTGGGACCTAGATGCTTAAATTCATGCAGTCGGAGCATCAGGGAAGATAGCTCGTCAGAACAGTTGCTAAGAAAATATTTATAGAACGACAGAGGGAAGCCACATTACGTCTTTGAGAAAATGACTGAAGTCGAGATGTCAAGTCAGGATCGATTACATTGCAGATTCTTCTTTGGATTTTATCGAGAACATCGAGATGAACAGCAGGGGAGCCAGACCAGATATGGTAACAATACTCAGTGCATGAACGAATAGTAGATTTGTAGATGTGTAAGATGGACTCTGATGAGAAAAAACCTTTTGGCATGAAAGAGTGAAACGACTTTCCTTGCAGTCGATTCAATATTGATTCAATGGTGTTGTTCCGCCTTAAGTCATTGTAAAACGTGAGGCTGAAAAGGCGTATTGAGATACTCACGGAGTCGAACATCAACTATGCTGATGGTGGGCAGTGAAGCTTCTCTGTGGAGGTTAAATGAGAGTAATTTAGTTTTGGAGGCATTAAAATTTACAAGCCATTGACTACTGCAGTTAACCACTTATTGGGGATCCTTTTCAAGAGCATCGGCCAGGTTAACTTTGTGATCTATTTAAAGTTTACGTCCATAACAAGTCAGAAAGTCTGTATATAAAGTTATTTACTTTTAACTGTTACTGTCCTTGAACAGATTAGTGTAACATTATCATTGTAAGTACTAATAAGAACATGAGACTAATCTCTCATATATAAAGTTATTGTTTATTTACCTACTGAAATCGTCAATTAATATCAGCGAGTCGGAGTTTTATTTGGGGGGACTTTCTCTGAACGTGGATCTTCTTTACGTGAATATGTTTATCAAGTAGTCACACTTATGCACATCCTAAGCGCAGCTGAGTCAAAGATTTCTTTACATGTCGAATGTAACCACTAACATCATTTGAGGCGCTAAACCGCACTTAATAACGGCGGCTAGATTCTAGAGAAACAACGACCGCTGAAAATTATTAACGACAACTAGATCAAATGCCGACAATAAAAAGTGAACTTTATGCAGTCAAAGCGGTGGTCTGTTTCTTGCCAGAAATCAAGTGCATTGTCAAGTGAATTTGTGTCCGCAATAACCTTCAGATCTTTCCCTTCGATATCTGTGCTATACAGCGAAGGTATCGACTTGAAGGAGGATGAGTAATAATTCAAAACTGTTCTCACGAAGATCTCGTCTCTCATAACAAATAAAATTTCTTTTCTTCATCGATACACAAGGATGAAATTAAACAAACCGATATGAACAAATTAAGGATGAGTATAAAACTAACACAAAGACCAATTTAGAACATTTAATATTTATCGAATGTAATTGAGTGTAATAGAGAACAATTAGCGACCAGCAAAGAGAAATCAACAAAACAAGTTCGAATGAGCCAAATGGCCGGATTAACTGGATTCTTTTCCCTTGTGGTAGTAACCAATCTAAGAAAAAGAATACTGTGTATTCAAAATCTGCTTTAAAGTTATGACTGCAGTGCATGTGGTAACCTTAGGCCCGTTATGAGTTGCGGAAGTCGTAATAGGAATAGGTGACCGAACTCACGAGTCAGATTTTCTGAGACTAGCTAGCTACAAGCAGCACCAATAAATAAATTCAAATTTCAAAGGAGATGCAAAGAAGTATAGATATTTCTGATGACCATCGATTTTGCGTAATTTGAATTCCAGACAAACCAAGCCCACTTATCTAGTAAGTAAAAATTCATTATTCCGTCAGAAATCGATTATATTCAATATTCTAAAATATATTCTAAAATATATTACAATAATTATGAGACATAATAGTCTCATAATTATTGTAATATATTTTAGTCTTTTTTAATAGAATTTTGATATTTATATTTAAGGAAATCGTTAACCCCTCAACACGACACATTCCAGAACTTACAGAGAATCAGAATTCACATTTATTTAATATTGACCCATTCACTTGAATACCAATAGTTGTTTTTGTTTCCTCTTTTTTACTGTGAGTAATCATGACAATTTCAGTTGAACTAGTTTTATGCAGAAATAGAATTTTTTTGACCAATAAGAACACTTAGAGTGAACTTTTCATCCATTCATAAAGGTCACTACGTTAACGGTAAAAAGTCAAGAAAAGCAGTTTCCCAACTCAGAGTTCTGCCAATGATCATATTTTTCAATAAAAATGTGTCTAACATATTGCGTTAATATTTTTCATCTAATTAAAATTCTAATTGACGAATTGTTTCCCGTCATACATTTCTGTTTCAGCCATTAAAATATCATAAACACTTGCAAACAATTTCAATAATCAGTTAGTTTTCTTCAGAAGGCACTCGAAAATTATTTCTAAACACCGATCCAGTTATATTCTCGATTCTTTTGATTTCTGTTATCAATCAATTCCGACAGACTCTGAACTTTTGAATTTGAGAACTTAATTGTAATGGCTTGTTCTAAAAATTTCTTTAATGTGTACATTTTTTGTGGCCCATTGTAAATTAACTTTTCACACTTAAAATATTGTACAAATGTTACAAAAGAGAACTTTAATTACTATTTGTTTAGTTTATTTTTTTAAAAATCTTTTCTTTACACAGATTGTAACTTGCTTTCTACATAAAATATATTTTATGCGAATTGGTTCAATTTCAAAAATAAAATTACATAGCAAGATGATTATTTAAGAATTCTTTTTAAGTAATCTTTTGTTAATCTTTTCATAACAAGCATTTATGTTTCCATATTAGAAAACATTGTCACAATTTAACATAATTAATATAAACCTCTCGTAAATTTGAAGAACTTCTTTAGCTTTTTCGTTCGAAAAGAGATTTGTTATCAATTATTGGAATGTTCAGTACAGAAATGACAACATATATTAA